TCAGCCAAGCTTTACTGGCAATTACAACTTCTGTGGTCAAGAGAATATTTCAGAGAGCAAATGGTAGATTATCAGTTATCTGCTCATCCTTGGAAATTCAATATGATAATTTTATTCCCAGTATTTTATATTTTAACATATTGATAATATTTCATCATTATAGCTGTGCAAAAATTCTCATTAGGGCAAAGAAAAAAGAACAGAATCAACTCATTGTAAGTGGAATTTATTGAGATAGGATATTATAATACAGACCATGTTCACCTCAGACTTGTGATTGTGGGTGAATTCTCAAGATACATTAATTGTATGTATTAATTGTAGGTATATAGCATTAAATCTGGTTTGTATGAGATACATTTCAAAATCTAGAACCTTTAGAAAAAAGCCATTTTGGAGTTAGGGTGAACGAATGCTTATATCACACATTTATTGTATTTTATAATTTCAATATTATTAAGAGACCCACATTGGAGCACCAGACAGAAATCTCAAGGTCCAAATCAGGAGCAGAAGGAGAGCGAGCACGAGCAAGGAACTCAGGACCGCGAGGGGGGCACCCATACACTGAGACAATGGGGATGTTCTATCGGGAACTCACCAAGGCCAGCTGGCCTGGGTCTGAAAAAAGCATGGGATAAAACCGGACTCGCTGAACATAGCGGACAATGAGGACTACTGAGACCTCAAGAACAATGGCAATGGGTTTTTGATTCTACTGCACGTACTGGCTTTGTGGGAGCCTAGGCAGTTTGGATGCTCACCTTACTAGACCTGGATGGAGGTGGGTGGTCCTTGGACTTCCCACAGGGCAGGGAACCCTGATTGCTCTTTGGGCTGACGAGGGAGGGGGACTTGTTTGGGGGAGGCAGAGGGAAATGGGAGGCAGTGGCAGGGAAGAGACAGAAATCTTCAAAAAATAAATTAATTTAAAAAAAGATAATGTTGAAAAAAATTGTTTGAAGCCTTAAAAACATGACTTATAGCTTCCAGAGTGATGCACCATGCTTTGTTCAAGTTCATGGGGTGCCTGCCCCTTTCTGAATGGAGACAGAGGAGGAGTAGA